CCCCATCATAGGTGTTAGTGGGAGGAATAGATCCCCATCATAGGTGTTAGTGGGAGGAATAGATCCCTATCATTGGTGTTAGTGGGAGGAATAGTTTCCCATTATTGGTATAAGTGAGAGGAATATTTCCCCATGATTCTTATTAGTGGGAGGAATAGTGCCCCATCACTGGTTTCAGTGGGAGGAATATTTCCCCATCATTGGTGTTAGTGGGAGGAATATTGAACCATTATTGGTGTAAGTGGGAGGAATAGTTCCTCATCATTCTTATTAGTGGAAGGGATAGTATCCCCTTGTTGGTATCCGTAGGATGATTTGTGCCTTGTGTTAGTGGATGGGCCAGATAAAGGAAAGGAAAGAGGCGCAAACGTATCTACTGAAAATATCCTTTGTACAATCTACATGCAACAGTGCAATATAAACGTCAAATTATGCATATGTATTTTGTATGAACCTACATTGCAAAAAGATTAGACAGAAAGCAACAACCACCAAGCTGTTGGTGTAAGACCACCAACAGTTTTGAGAATTGTAATAGGTACTTTTGAAAGTAGCTTCCATTGATTTGTTTGGTTGATGTGTGAAAGACTTTACAAAAAGCACTGAAATTCTTGGGTATTAGTCAGTAATAGACAAATGATCATTCACTTTAAAAATAATGTTTTTTCCAGTGGCTAGAATAAATGAATATTTAAGCCAATAGAATGAGTTTACACTTCTATGCTTCTAAATGCCATACGCATGTAAACGCACATAAATACGCACACATACGCACATAAATGTGTGCACATACCTAACATTAGAGGCTTTTTTTTCTGCCAACTTCTGGCAGCATATTTGGAGCATAAATGCATATGTCTGTGTGTATGTAGCCTTATACTTTTACCACCCCTGATCATACCTTCCTATACTTCCCTTCATTTATTTGCCTACTGCTGCTGTCTGACAACTTGGATTTGTGCCTTGATCAGTTCTACTCTTTTGTTTAACCCTAAAGCTGGGCAAACACTGGTAGATTTTTGTACAAACATTTGTGTGAAAAATCTTGTCAGTACATTTAATAATGCCTACAGAGACTTGATGAATGTTATTCGAAAGTACTTCAAAATTTAAAGCGATATTAAACCCCCCAAAAATCATTTATTATATTGCAGCTTACCAATTCTTAGATGTGGTGGCTGTATTAGTTTTCTTTTTTTAGACTTTCTTTCCTTTATTTTCACTAGGTGATCCTGCCAGTAAGTCTTTTGTTTTTCAAAAGAACAAGCTGTTCTACAGATGTAGCAGTTAAAGTACTGAAACAAACCATTTACCACTGAAAGACATAATAGCATGTACAACACCTTGTAAAAAGTACAAGCATATCCAGCTGTAGAGAGTGGGGAGAGACCCGCTGTTGCCCGCCTACTTGTCATTCACGGCATCTGTCAGACACCCCGGCCATTCGGCTGTGTACCTCCATCTCCAGCGGGTCTCTCCCCACTCCCTACAGCGATTGTTGGCTCCACCACACTGGAGAGAGAGCTGTCTTTGCTAACTGCACTGAATCAGGATACTGACTGTGAAGTATTTTACATGTAAGTGCCTCTTGAATTAAGTTCTACTGTTTTAATTCAGCTGACCTGGTGCCCTGCTGTGTTTCCTTTTGCACTGAGAGACGAACTTACAGTGATCAGCTTTTATTAATTTATGTAAAATCTTTATCCCCCCCCCCCAAAAAAAAAATAAACCTGTTAATGTAACTGCCAATAAAGTATTAGTTGGTAGTTCAGCTCCAATTTGTTAGTGAATTTAGATCCGCTAGTACATCTAACACTCCCCCCCCCCCTTGATTAACAATGCTGCTGTCTAAAGATGAGGCCCCCCCCCCGAGTAGATGCACTCTAATAGAGGAGGTGTATTACTGGCCAGATCACCAGGTGAAGACAGAGGGGGGAAAAAGCCTAAAAGAGAAAACTAATGCAGACACCACATCTAATAACTGATAAGCTGCAATATATTACAATTTTTGATTTTGGGTTTAATACCACTTTAATTTGCTTTAACCTACGATTTTGGAATTAATGTAATTTACCAAAGAAAATCCACAGGCACTGTTAGAAATGTAAAAAAAATTCTATCCTGCTCTTTCAAATTCTGATGTGGATTTGACCATAATAACGATTAGAAAATAAAACAATCCAAAAGCAAAAATTTTCATTCAGAAGTCTACTAGTGCATGGCCAGCTTTAGCTTGATCCCTATGCAGGCCATAGAAGGGTCGAACATCGGCTGATTTTTCAAAGAAAAAAAAAAAAAAGAAAAATCGGTTGTTCGTTCGGCCGACATTACCACCAACAGTAAAAAAAAATCAGCTGACAAAATCATAAAGTTCACCCCATAACTTCTGTCCCTTGCAGGTCACGGCTCATGCGCGGATTTTTTATTGGTAAAATGATCGGCCGATTTGCCCAACATTGCCGGGAAAATCGTCCGATCGTCAAAGTCGGCCTCGAGTTTTCCAACATGACCGATAAAAAAACTGTGCAAAAAACCCGAAAAAAAAACGGCCGACCAATTAACCCACTAACAGTGCGAAAATCAGCCGATTTTTTTTGGGCTGAAAAATTGTCCGATTTTCTACCCGTCTATGGCCAGCATTAGTGTTTCTTTTTTTGGCATATTTTTATGTATGACGTGTAGATTGACACCAAGTTCTCTAAGCTCAGTTGTTACAGCCCTGTACAATAGTCCTACATTTTATGATCCTGTTCCATTGCCACACATAAAAAATGAAGTAGATAATGTGATATAAAAGAAGAATCTGCAGAGCTGAATGGATGTCCTTGATAAGTTCGTATGAGAAGGCTTCCTGCCCATCTGTTCAGCCTTGACATGACACACATAGATATTTTCCTGCATTGAATATTGTTTAGCGAAATAAACACATGAAATGGTATTTTTACCAAACAACACGCAGGAATACTCAAGAACTGAATATTTGCATGGGGTAAAAAATAGAATTTACAGTTTATCACACGTCATCTCTTCTTATCAAGCTGTGCTGTATAAAGTATAGTAGGACTCACAATGATGGGAAAAAAATCAGTGAATTAATTCCACATTGGAAGATGATTTTGTTTTTGCATCCTTTAGGATAATAGGATGATAAGGACTAAATCAACGGAACACCAGGACTAAACCAGAATTAGTGTCAGTTATATTTCTTTAAGTTAAGTGTGAACATGTGTAAGTGTAATGGTTAGAGATGCAATATTTAATTGCGGGTATACTCAAACATGCCACATCCCTATTTTCAGGACTATTTTTCCCTTTTGTAGAATTTCAAAGGAATATATATCATAAGAAATTGAAAAAGTATATTTTGCTAAAAGAACATCATAAAAAAGATAGTTTCTAAAAAAAGAAGACATATACCGCTTACAAATGGATGTATCTCAAAGCCAATAATAAGATAGCTGTCAACATATGATTGTATAGTTCATGTGACTTCATACACCCTTTATCCGACGCGTTTCATAGACTTGTAACTCTTTCTTCAGGGGTGTTAAGGGTTTCACATCTAAATTGACAGCAATACATGAGAACAGGAAAGGTAAAGATAAAAACAATGAGTTAAGATTTCACCATCCTGTGGAAATAGACCCTAGGCGACAAGAAGTATCCCATGGAAGGAGGGAGGAAAAAGCAGGCAACAGCTACTGGGGTCAGGAAATGGGCCCCCATAGTGCAGAACTTATTGAAAAATTGTCTTCTACAGGTGAGCAGTAGTCAGAAAAACTCCAAAATAGAACATTTCAGGAACATTTCAGGAAGAGAGGTATAAAGTTGCCCTGCCAACTTATGGGTTTTTAACACAGGCTGGTAGTCGCTCCAGGTGGTGGCGGTGATGTGCAATTATGGTGGAACCATGGTTAAAATCAAAGCTGATATATATGATGCAGTTTGTCAATACCATTAACACAGCAGTCTTTTGATTTTCCAAGTCCCCACTGTAAAATTATTATCTATTGACCCTTCTAGTAGATCTGATATTTTTTTTACTTCCTTTTACAGGCCAAGCTGCTCAGCAAAAGTGGCAGTTACAGGGTTAGGACAAACCATGTAACACTGACTGGAGGATAGAAAGAAAAAAAAAAACTATCGCTGTAACTCCTTAAAGACCAATTACAGTATATCCTCAGCTTAAATCAAGTAAATACATTCCAGGTACTTCATTGCAAGAGGTTCTCAATGTCTTGCAGTTAACTTTCAACTCAAGTCAGAGTAGAAAAGCCTATCAACTGTTAGCAGCTGCAGAGTGGGACCATTGAACTCTGTGTGGAATCATTGGTCTCTCTGCAGCGACTTTACATAGCCCCTGCAGAGTCAGACCTATAGGTCTGCAATGAGCAAAGTTCATGCTCTCTTCTGATTCTTCATCTCTGGCTCTGACTTAGTGGGAGCCATTTCAGACCTCTGCAGAGAGACCACAGCTTCCACACAGAGAGTAATGTTCACCACATGCTGGAAGAGGAGAGTCTTCTCTATTCGAGCTTAAAATGAACTGTAAAACGTTGAACCGAAAATATATTTAGCTGATTTAATTTGAAGTATCATTTGGGCTTTAAAAAGTATTAGGTGGATTTGTTTGTCTCCTACTTAGGCTGGCGTCACAGCTTTGCATTCTGGTAATATATGTGTTACCACAACATAGGGTAGAACACCTTGTATGCATTGTCATTCAAAATTCATGCCACTGCAATAAGATGCCTTATCCTACATTGTGATAACACACATATTTCCACAATATAATGTTGGGAAATACTGAAAACAATGCACCTTCATTCCAACAGTAATGCACTGCTCTGTGCTATGTGGTGTGCCGCATTGCTAAAATGGGTCAGGAGGTGCACTGAGGTGCATTGGCTGCCCATTCAAAATGAATAAGCTGCCTTATTGTAAGGCACATTAATGCACAACGTAATGCGCATCAAAAAAGGTTTGAAAGTGTTAACAGTTTTTCTTTTGCTGTGCTCATGCTTTGGAGCTACTCAAGTCAACTATGTTATATGTACGGACCAAATGTTACAATGTAACTCTTTGCAACATTTGTCCTTGGTTGACTTGCTAGGCTGGTGGATCTGCGAGGGAAGGGTAATGCTACCCAGGGGCGGACTGACCATTTGGAAACTTGAGCACTGCCCGAGGGCCCAGGGTCATAGGGGGCCCCATGAGATGCCCCTGGTACCTTTTTTATAGGCTTTTTTGAGTTTCGGCAAGGACACAGGGGCCTCATGATCCCCTATTGCCCAGGGGCCCCATGAGTTGTCAGTCCGCCCCTGATGCTACCGCTGTTTTTTCAGAAGGCTACCACCTCCCTGTAGGTCATACCATGTAAATAGGTGCTTATTACTGCTCTGGGACAAGAGAGAGAAGGAGGAGGTGGTGCGAGGTTCAAGATGTCAAGCAGCTGGTTTGCCCCCTTGTGGGAGCCCAGTTGGGGTTCCAAGGTTTCTTAATTTACATGGATTTCTGCTGGACTCTTGTGTATTAACTATTGCCTTTTTAGATTTACTGCTACTCTACTGAAACTCTGCTGCTAAATTCAGGTGTGACTACATCATGGGGCATTTAGAGATGTTTTGTACAGGAATGTATGCTGAAGGTATCTTTAAGAACTGTTTCTGTGTTACCTGCAACTACTTTAGTAAAGAACTTCTTGTTTAGTTCATATGCTAATCTGAAGCCCTTAACCTTTTCCCCGCCAGGTCTGTACGTCGTACGAGCCTGCAGCCACCAGGATTGTGTCTAAAACTGACAGGCAGACTCCTGCCTGTCAGGTGGAAGCAGTCAGGCGACTAGTGGAACATTGTTATTGGGAGTGAGGCGACAGGATTGATGAGTTGGTGGAGCCCGGTACATAATTTGTGGTACTGACTCAGAAATTCTGCAACACCTGGAGCGTCATGTTCTCAAACAGAAGTTGTGTCCAAAGTGTATAGTGTTAACAGCATAAGGAGTATGGCCATGGATTACAAAGAGTTAACTGTGCAAGTAGCTGATCGCTTCTAAAGTCTGGAGTCCTGATTTATTGTTGATTCCACATGACCACAGCTCCTGAATGATTCAGGCATTAGCAAATGCAGTTCTAAAGTATTCCCATTAGGGCACCTTGAACGTGTGTTAATACACTGCAAAGGTATAAAGCTAGCCTTGAAAAATATTTAAAACTACATGTAAATCTAAGACTATCTTGTCTACATGGTGACAATACTGTGCTGCAATTTCACTGCAGAACAAACAACTCTGTTATCACAAAATCTATTGAGTATTATCGCATTATTCTGGAACTGATGTTATTTCAGTTTCTTTCTCACCTATTATTACTGTGTGTTTTTCTTTAAGCCAACACTACAAATCGCACCTGAGACAAGTTGCACTTGGAACTGAATGCAGGTTGTAACTTCAACTTCCTCCAGTGGTCCAGTAGCACCACCGTCAAAGGGCCCCAATGATAGCCGACAGAAAAAAACATCTAGAGATTTCCCCTCTTATCTACCTCAACTTTGCATACCTTTCTCCATCTATGGGCTATTAGGGGCTGTTTGGCCTAAAAAAAGTCCTGCAGGCAGACATGGACCTCGCATGGTCACCCTAGTGCACAAGTGGGCAGTATAGCTCCGGGGGCTTAATTTATACACTGTTTAAGTTGCATTTTGTGCACCTTTGGTGATCATGTTACTGTTTAAGCTGACATGGATAGATAGTGAGGAAGTAATCCCTCTTATCATCTGTTCTTACACATGTGCGATTCTCTATAAGCCTCCTCTGTATGGCAAACAGTATATTACTTTATCTTATCAAATGTCCTCTCTTACCCTCTGTTAATTAATCAATGTATACATATGGTCTTACTCTGCAACTGTGTATTGTCCTCTTTCTTGAGACATGGTTGGTGTCAAACCTTAGACTGTGTGAGTTTAACTGTGTGTCAGAGTGGTAAAGGTTTCCGCTACAACAATTTTTTTTTTTAAAGTGAACATTTCCTTTTTAAACAAGGGGCCAGTTTACTGTCCTTCAGATTTTAGGGGGGCTGGACTGTGGTCAGTGGAGTTGATAATGCCTCAGGCTTGATGGACAGTTGGGGTAAAAAAATACATAGCACCTCTTTGGTTAGGTGGAGGAGGAATGGTGTTAATAGGAGGAATAGTTCCCAGTCATTGGTATGAGTGGGAGGAATAGTACCCTCATCATTGGTGTCAGTAGGAGGAATAGTTCCTTCATCATTGGTTTCAGTGGGAGGAATTGTGCCCCATTGGTGTCAGTGGGAGGAATAGTGCCCTGTTGGTGTCAGTGGGAGGAACAGTGCCTCGTTGGTGTCAGTGGAAAGAATAGTGCCTCATCCCTGAAGTCAGTGGGAGGAATGGTGCATCATCTTTGGTGTCAGAGGAATAATTTATCCTCACTCATCATTGGTGCCAGTGGGAGGAATAGTTCCTTCATCATTGGTGTCAGTGGGAGGAATAGTGCCCTGTTGGTGTCAGTGGAAGGAATAGTGCCCTGTTGGTGTCAGTGGGAGAAACAATGCCCTGTTGGTGTCAGTGGAAAGAATAGTGCCTCGTCCTTGAAGTCAGTGGGAGGAATGGTGCCCCATCTTTGGTGTCAGAGGAAGAATTTATCTTCACTCATCATTGGTGCCAGTGGGAGGAATAGTACCCTGTTGTTGATGTCAAAAAGAAGGAATAGGGACCCAAGAGCCGGAAAAGGCAAGCAAAGGGCATCATCCAGCCCATGGGTCGTAGTTTGGAGACCACTGCTTAAAGCATCGCAGCACTCTGCTTCAGTACTCCTCTCAAGAGCCCTCAGTCCTGATGCAAGCAGTGGGGTGGCTCTTAGGGGAGCTATGCAAATATCAAAATGCCTTGACGAGTAGTTGTCAGGCTGAAGGAGTGGGCATTCCTAGGCAGGCTGTATTTGCATGCAGATTGCCCTAGGTAATGTCCACATGTGATGCTGAGCCTCCATGACTGAAACAACCAAGACTGAAATCCAATGAATGAGAGGGACAGGCCACTGAGAATAAGGATAAGGCAGAAAGAACTAGGTGATAATAGAAGTCCTTCAGGCAGAAAATGAAGGGGCTCTAGCCAACTTGCTGAAACTTCTGATGCACACTGTTAGAGGTTCACAGTGTGGAGTGAAATCAGAGTAAGCTGTTTCACTACACCAGAGGAGTCTGTAAAACTGTGCAAGACTGTTGGTAAGGCTGGGGTTCAGCTTTAACATTTTTAGCTAAACAACTTTATATATATATACAGTTGTGTTCAAAATAATAGCAGTGTGTTGAAAAAAGTGAATAAAGCTCAAAATCCTTCTAATAGCTTTTATTTCCATCCACACAAATGCATTGGGAACACGACACATTCTATTCCAAATCAAAACATGAAGAAAAATACATCAAATTTGTGTTGTTCCTCTAAAAAAAATTGAAGAAAAGTGAATATTAAAAAATAGCAGTGTTTGTATTCTTCTTTACAAACTCAAACATTCACTATATAAACTGAAAAATGTTTGAAGATTTTGCTTTCCTTTGAATGACTTAATAAATATTTAGTTGTATAAGCACTGTTTCTGAGAACTGCTGTACATCTGTGTTGCATGGAGTCACCCAACTTCTGGCACCTGTGAACAGGTATTCCAGCCCAGGATGATTGGACTACATTCCACAGTTCTTCTCTATTTCTTGGTTATTCCTCAGAAACGGCATTTTTGATGTCACCCCACAAGTTTTCTATTGGATTAGGATCCGGGGATTGGGCTGGCCACTCAATAACGTCAATCTTGTTGGTCTGGAACCAAGATGTTGCAAGTTTACTGGTGTGTTTGGGGTCGTTGTCTTGTTGGAACACCCATTTCAAGGGCATTTCTTCTTCAGCATAAGGCAGCATGACCTCTTCAAGTATTCTGATGTATTCAAACTGATCCATGATCCCTGGTATGCGATAAATATGTATGAGAAACATCCCCATATCATGATGCTTGCACCACCATGCTTCACTGTCTTCACAGTGTACTGTGGCTTGAATTCAGTGTTTGGGGGTCGTCTGACAAACTGTCTCCGGCCACTAGACCCAAAAAAAACAGTCTTACTTTCATCAGTCCACAAAATGTTGCGCCATTTCTCTTTAGGCCAGTCAATAAGCTCTTTGGCAAATTGTAACCTCTTCAGCACGTCTTTTTTTCAACAGTGGGACTTTGCGGGGGCTTCTTGCAGATAGCTTGGCTTCACATAGGCGTCTTCTAATTGTAACAGTACTCACAGGGAACTTTACACCTTTCATCTTCCTGGAGCTGATTGTTGGCTGAGTCCTTGCCATTTTGGCTATTCTTCTATCCATTCGAATGGTAGTTTTTCGCTTTCTTCCACGTCTTTCAGGTTTTGGTTGCCATTTTAAAGCATTTGCGATCATTTTAGCTGAGCAGCCTATCATTTTCTGCGCTTCTTTATATGTTTTCCCCTCTCCAATCAACTTTTTAATCAAGGTACACTGTTCTTCTGAACAATGTCTGGAACGACCCATTTTCCTCAGAATTTCAGAGAGAAATGCACTGTAACCAGCATGTACAACATTTGCTGCCTTCCTTCCTTAAATAAGGGCAAAAATTGCCACCTGTTTTTCAAAGAATGAATGACCTCACTAATAAAACTCCACACTGCTATTATTTTGAACATGCCCCTTTAAATTAGTGATTCAATTACACAGAATCAACAGCATGCATGTCATGACTGTTGGGTCTGTCGGATTTCTATTACTCTACTACACCTGCTAGTAAATTATTTGCAATGTAGAAATATCATTTCTACCAAAAACACAAAAACAGTGATTGATCAGGTTAGTGATGTCTGACTGCTATTATTTTGAACACAACTGTATAAACATATATATATATAGGCAACCACATTCATTTTATAAAGCACCAATTGTCTTCAAAATGTTTTTTTAAATAAATATTACAGGTTCATGTGGACTTTTCAGAACACCATTCAAACACAATAATTTATCTTTTATTAACACTGTGTCCTACATAAATATTTTACAGGTTGTAGTTTGATGGTTCTACAATACGTATGCCTAAATGC